TGCTCCTTTTTTGCCTGTTATGTCTATAAATAACTTCTAACTTATAATTTTTTCTCCTCGGTTGCCATTAATAGATTGACACCTGGGACCTTGTTTCAAACGATTTTCTATATCTTTAACTTCGAAATTTTCAAATCGTATGTCCCATGGAGGAGGGGGTTGATTTAAATAGTAGATACATGATGGCCATGATAAAATTCGGGATCAGAGTCAGGATTTCTCAATTTCTCAAAGTGTAAATCATGCGATTTATATGATTTTTGGCTGGCCATCAGAACTTCAGTTTGACATTGGTCTTGATGATACTGTAAAAATTACGAGAAATATTAGTGCATGAGAATACAGAATAAACATAAAATTACTGAGAAATCTCCAATTTCAGTTAACTTCATCAGGCTCATTTTTCTAATATCAATCAAAATTCAGTTTTCAGCGGAACAGATTTATGCATTCGTCTTCAAGAATCCATCAATATTACGCCGTCAATACCCTGTCATGGTAACTCGATTATTCCAAGACTGTTTCCAGCAATCAATTAAGATTGAAGAGCTAAGCGGCCCTGTCAACCGTGAAAGCTGATATCAGTTTTTTTTTGTTATAAATAAGCCGCTTTTAAGACTAGGTCTGGATACGTTGCGTTGCATGTAATACGTGCAAGTAAAATGAAAAGGCGATAATATTCAATGACTAGTTATCGTATTAGTTAAGAAGATATCCAACTGTATGCTGTATTTGGAAGTTCATATACAATTTCCATAGACACAGCCATGTTGCCAAGAACGATAATTAATTACGATACTAGTAATTTTCTTGGATAATAAAACACACTCCATTTTCCTTCTTTTCCAGGCTTTTTATTCTGAATTGAGTTATTCTGTTAAGTACTTAAATTTTATAATAATTTTATTTTGGGGTCATTAATTGCGATTGATTGTTCGACCATCTACTAGTTCGGTTAGCTACAAAATCGTGTTTTTTAAACTATTATTTGTTTTTCATGTTTTAGTTCGATTTATCAGTTAGTTTTTTGTGGATATGTGGTATTGAAATGTCTTACGAATCATTTCGTAATCTAATCTTCTCATTTAAAGCTTCACTGTTGCATGGTGTTTTTACTGTTAACTTAGAGCAATCAAGTTCTTCAATCCGAATAGGCTCTAAGGATCTTACACGAGTAAGTGCTAGATAAGCTTGACCAGCAACAAACAGTTCTTGATACGTGTGCAAAGTTTCAAATCAATTAAGCTTCTGGAAATTGGTGAAAATTATGTTCAAAGATTCTGTTATAAAGGGTGTTTCAGTTTATTGTTGCATAACTTTAAGTTTCGATAGAACTTTTAAAACTAATGCATAAAGTGTATATAAACATGGGTCGAAAAATGCGTGGCTTCCGATTTCACAGGGTGTTTAAATTTACTTTTTAAAATAGTTTTTTTTTAAATATTTCGAACAATATTTGATGTATAACAGTGAAAATTGGTATACAAGGGTTTTTTGGTACGACAAAACGAACCATGGGCATACTTTTACTGTGCCGCTAGAGGGCGCTCTCTACTGTACTGTAGTGTGTTCTCAGTGCAATTTTTTGCTTTTTGAATAAAACAACTGATTCTTCGCACTTTTCAACATAAAAAAGCTATCTTGTGAATTTTCGTTATAGTTAGCCGTTTTTGAGATATTGCGATTTTTAAGGTTCGATGCATTTTTAATTATTTATGATAAAATAACGTGAAAAAGTCAGTATCTAGATAATTTTTAGAAGTAGGCTGTGCCTGCAAATATTTTTGAAATTGAAAGCAGAATAAGGTTAAACGTCAATTAGTTGACAGTTAGTTTTGTTGTCTGTTGAAACCTGAAACGTTTTTTTGCAATTATGAATGCACGAAACTTAGTTTCTTTTACCTGTTTTTTTTGTAAGTTTTATAAAAATGCCATTTTTATTCTCCAATCAAGAGTTAGCGGATATTCATTTTGTGTATGGCTTTGTAAATGGAAACGCATCAGAAGCAGCCAGAGAATACGCACAAAGATTTCCAAACAGACGACATCCAACTCGTTGAGTATTTGTAAGAGTGCATCGCCAAATAATTGAAAATGGTTTTGGAAATCTCCAAAGGGATCAAAACATAAATGTTCGTCAGCGCAGATTTACCCGTATGATTCTGCGTGAGTTTGATAGAGATCCTACCACAAGTGTTAGGAGAGTTTCTGGTGCCTTGGGAATTTCAGCAAGCCATGTTTACCGTGTTCTTAGAAATGACCATAGACGTCCTTACCATTTGCAACCTGTGCAAGGACTACAGCCAGGGGACGGAGAACGAAGAATCACATTTTGTCAGTGGATTCTTGATAGAACTGATAATAATAGGGAGTTTTTAAGTAACGTTTTATGGACCGATGGGTCATGCTTCACTAGACGTGGAGTGGTAAATTTTCATAATCAACATATTTGGTCGCATGAAAATCCGCATGCAGTTCGGGAGAGAAATTTTCAGCATGAATTTAGTGTGAACGTGTGGATTGGTATCTACCGTAATCGACTATTTGGACCCTACCTTTTGCCTGCAAGGTTAAATGCTGCGACCTTCTTGGAATTTTTAAAGGCTGAACATGCAAATATTTGGGATGATGTTATGTTAGATTTAAGAAGATTGGCCAGGTTCCAGCTTGATGGTTGTCCAGCTCTTTATTCGAGAATAGTTAGAAACTGGCTGGACGAAAATTATCCAGAAAGATGGATCGGCCGTGGAGGACCAGTCTATTAGCATATCTCCCGTAACCACAAGAGATATGCTAATAGACAGAATCAGGAATGCATGTGATCAAATAAGGCCTTATTTGAATAATGCTATACCACGTTCGATCATGCGTAGATGTGAATTGTGTATTGAACAATTGGGTTTACATTTCGAGCAACTATTTTAGATTTTGTATGTTTGTCCTAACTATTCTATAGCATTTTAGTTGTAAATAATTAATTTAATTTGTTAAAAATAATATTGGAAAATTAAAAAAATTAATGTTCTGTTTTTTGTGTTTATTTGGAGTTAGGAATTATTGCTGTGTTTAAAAACATAATCTAAACGATCATCTTAATTACTTGAAATGCCCAAAACGAAAATGTAAAAAAAATATTATTTTCCCATAAATAATTAAAAATGCATCGAACCGTAAAAATCGAAATATCTCAAACGAAAACTCACAAGAGAGCTTTTTTATGCAGAAAAGTGCGAAGAATCAGTTTTTTTTTTATTCAAAAAGCAAAAAATTGGACTAAGAAAAATTTTTCGGTCATTTTAATACACTACAGTACAGTAGAGAGCGCCCTCTAGCGGCCCAGTAAAACTATGCCCATGGTTCGTTTTGTCGTACCAAAAAACCCTTGTATACCAATTTTCACTGTTATACATATTGTTCGAAATATTTAAAAAACACTATTTTAAAAAGTAAATTTAAGCACCCTGTATTTCGGAAGCCACGCATTTTTCGACCCATGTTTATATAGACTTTATGCATTAATTTTAAAGGTTCTATCGAATCTTAAAGTTATGCAACAATAAACTGAAACACCCTGTATACATACAGGTCAAGCTAATAAGAGTGTTAAAAAGTACCTTTTAACGAATCTGCATGATGCCCAGCCCAAAACAACGTCAAGAATTGTTAAAACAATTTTTGAGCATATTCAAAAAATTGTTTGCAATATTTCAATTTTTCGAGTCATTCTGAACAAAAAATTGCGATATATGCAATTTTAGCCCCGAAAAACAATATGAAAAAATGTCCATGCTGCCGTTCCTCAATATTCGCTTTGTGTTTTCGTTAATTGAGGATTGGAGAAGAACTTTGGCAACATGGAAATGTTCGTTTTTTTATATTGTTTATGGAGTCGAAAACATTTTGCACTTCTTCAAATATTAAATAGTACGTACCTCAAAAACTATCAACCATGGAGAAAAGTGCATACTAATCTTTTTTGTTGAGAATAATCCAAAAAATCTAAAAGGAAGATCATAGGACATTTCTTAAGAAAAAAAGTGTCAATTTTGGGACTGACGACATTCAAAAGGAATAAGATTGTGCAAAAATAGAATATTTCTCCAAGCAGATGCGAAGATATTTCCTGTACTATAACTATACAGGGTGTCCGCAAAGTTGGGGTTTTCCTTTTCAGAAACAACTACCCTTGAAATAACAAAGGTAATGTGTCGTGAAACGAGGGCGACCAAGTAAAAAAAAAATAAAGGAAAAAGTACTCACTCTCCAGTTGACGAGAAGGGCTAAGTACGTCTCTGCCCGAAATCATACCGCTCCAACAGAAAATGAAATTAGCTGATGCGCTACCGAGCAGACGCACCATGCCAGCCCAAACATTCACCGAAAATGTTTCTTGAAAATGTGCCCGACGGACAGCGTGCGGATTTTCTACTGACCAAACATGAGTGTTGCGAAAGTTATTCACCCCATTACGCGTGAACGTAGATTCGGCTGTCACCAATATGCACTTCAAAAAGTCCGGATTATTGTCATGTTGATGCAACAACCACTCACAAAGCCGCACTCTTGCTGGAAAATCGTCAGGTTGAAGGGCTTGTACACGTTGGACGTGAAACGGATACAGCCCCTCTTCACGCAGCGTTTGCCACACTTTAGTTTTTGATACTTGCACTTCTCTAGTGCTTGTTGAGGGATTCTCGTCTACGCGATTACCTCTACACGCGTGACCGTAACCGTCGGTTGAAGGTTGCATACTGACCTGACACACTGACCCCGACCCAGTTCTGTCGTCGGGTTGAGCTAGTGTCCTAGTGCCACTCGGGGATGTCGCGGCTACAGGACGGTATTCAGATATTTTTGATGTTGCAGAGCCCTTTATCTCGGTTCCCTTAAGACATTGGTGTATATGGTACTAAGAAAAATTGCTTATGTTTTCAAGATCTACAGGTCGTGTAAAGGAAAACCCCAACTTTGCGGACACCCTGTATATCAATTTCACTTACCTCCTGCATGACTTCCTCAGGGAACTTCGCGTCGTTCGCGCCCCTGGATAATCGTACAGGTTCCTGAGTCCTGGCGACGTACGCGGGTAAAGCGTTGTCTCCACCGATTCCACACCCGGAACCATTCCGGGCGGATGCCGGAGCATGTTCCGGAGCTGCGATCAGCCTCAGGTCCTCAGGGTCGCTTTTTGTTGACAGGAATAACCTGTAAGAAAGAATGAGAAATGGTACTATGATAATTAACAGGCTACTTACTAGTGATTTTTTTCAGAAAAATGCAAAAGGACACCGGATTTAATGGATCCTCACTTTTTTTATGAGGATATTATGATGATATTATCTTTCGTACGTAATTTCTAAGTTTCAATAAAAGATTAAGATGAAAAAATGGAAGTATTTTATTTCATTTCACTAATATTCAAGATACAAGCCAGTCAGTTACATATCGACCACCCTGTACTTACTCGCCAGTTGCAGAGGGACGTGAAATGAACATTTCAGGAAAAAATGAGTAGCCAAAAATGAGACAAATGATCTCCTGGACATTTGAAATACTAACAAGTAGCAATGATCAATCCCAAGTTCATTTAATTTTCAACTTGATTTGTGTCTCGTAAAACACTGAAACATGCTACAACCTCTATCAGACGATATCATATTTCAAGCAAAATCCTGTTTAACCCCTTTTTGCGTGCAAAATCTTGACTCATAAAGACCTTATCTAATAGGCCGTGTTATTTTATACATTGTTACTCCTGTACGGTAATTTCCGATAACGTACCTGTTTTTTGCAGAAGCTTCATTCGAAAAGGAGCTTTAGTTATAAAACTCCTATATTACTCGGAAAATATTAATTTATTTTTGACAGGAACTGAGAGATACTGTCGGTAACTTGACAACATATTTAGTGGAACTAGGCGATAGAATTTTTGACATATACGTATAGTTCAGACATTGATGGTCTGGTTTTGAAAGTGGCCGTCAATACACAAGCCCTGTTTGGGCCAAATAAATGGGACTTATGCGATGTTCTGATGACCTCAGCGAGAAACAAACGACAGGCTGATGATCTACGCATCCCAAGAAATGGGGCCAAAGATTTTTTTTAATGTGATATCTGGAACTGGTGTTCTTTTTCGTTGTGATGTGGTTTTATTGGCTAGAAAATCATAGTTTACCTTTAAACTTTAAATCATCGTCATCATTGCCATGTATATTAGGTAAGTATAGGTAACACTACATCAGGCATTTTGCTGTTTTTGTTGTAAGTTATTACACTTTGCTTGCAATGTACATGTCTTAGTAAACAAAAACGTAGATATAGCTACTTTGTATATCGTCATTTTATCAAAAATATCAAAACATGGATTTGTATGTATTATTTGATATCATGTCGAAATCAATCTGCTAGATAGCTAGATAACATTCGTAAATACATTTTTATTATTTATCAAGCAAAACCGGGTGTTTTTTTGTTGTTTCATCTTATCCTCAATTATCAATTTGAGGTTTACTTACTGATGCCACATTGCATTTTTGCATAACTGATAACAATTTTTTATTCCAAAAATGTATAAGATATCATACATTAATGTTGTAAAACTATAATTGTTCAAAGGAACATAACTTGCGAAGCAGTTCTTGGTCTTATTAGGCATTTGTTTCATAATATCATCTCAGTTTGTATGAAGTGGGTATAGGTGATCAGTTCCTATTTCCAATTTTAATGACGAAAAAATTTGCTGAATTTTAAAGCGCGAAAAAAGTTGTGTGAATCTTTTGTGTTATCAATTTTTAATTATTGCAATCTAGTTTATCATCCTTGTTTGGATGTTGCAAGTCGTAACAGAATATCTGTAGTACAAAATAACTTAGAACGATTTATATTTAGTTTAAGAAAATTTGAACATGTTTCGGATCGTTATCCTTTAATAGGTTAATGGGTTGGTTAAAGATGACAGATTTAGTTAAATACAACTATCTAACCTTTATACATAAGTTACTTGTCTCTCGAACTCCAATTTATTTACGTGAAAAACTAATTTTTAGGCATAATGTAATGTAATGCTGCTTCATAGTTCATCTGTTTTTAACAGGTCCTTCTCATATAATGCATGCATGTTGTACAATAGCTTAGATTATAGAACAAAAAGCCTGCCTCTGTATAGTTTTAAAAATTACTTAAAAGCTCTTCTGCTCAATGGTGCTTCTTAAAGGTGTTTTTCTCCAGCATTATATTTGTAAGCTAATTTTTGTTTAGGTTGTGATCAGTTACATGGGCATTTTCATCCTTTTATTTTCTTTACAGCTGTACTTTTTTACCATCTATTATTCTTATGCAGCAAATGGTTAAGTGTAAGAATAGCTGTCATAGCTAAACTTCGCCATTAAGCTGCTCACTAATCTAATTATAGATAATAATTCATGCATTATCTGTAATTTGTTTTTTCTAATAAAAGACGGTTTATTATTATTATATCATTGGCGGATTTAGGTGGCTATATCTTTGTGCGAAAATTACCTGCTAGACCTAAATCAAGAGGACGTCACCTCCTCCTAACCTGTACTACGCTGATGTACTAGCAGCTCGACGCTGTAAAACACCTGGCAACCAAGTAGCGATGGGCGATTACTGATAAAAACCGCTTATTTCTTGCACTGTTTAACCCTACCAAATTTAAACGGTTATGCTGTTCACCGAAAAAATCGGTGGATTTAGGAATGTGATCGTCTTTTGGGGAGGAGGGTATGTATCGGCGATTGAAAATTGAAGAGTGAGTGGAGAGACGGCCCTATTCATATTGGTTTTTGTAGATAAAAAATAATACTTAATGACCTTTGCTCCGGTTATTGAACTTTTTATCCGATAACCGGTTCACAGTACATTTTAAAATAACCGGTTAATCCAATTAAAAAAAAACTGTTATTTAATCAGTCGATTGTTCTGCTATGCCCTCATTTAACGGACTTCGTATCTCATATCATATCTGAAATTTCAATGGTGAAAGTCAAATTTGAGACACCCAGTATAGTTTCGTTTGAATATTAGTTTCAAAGCCACATTCATTGTACGAAAATTGTTAGTACAATGGCAACGGCGCTCTAAAAATTATACAATACCCATTCATATCGCAATATAAACAATGATTCTAATTAAGTTTGAAATAACATTCAACACGAAATTCAATTATGGAGCAGTTGTTCTGTAAATAAACGCGGGGTTGCCATTTAAAATGTTATATATGAATAGGCTCTACTGGCTTCATATTTTATGATATATATATATATATATATATATATATACAGGGTGACTTTGAAGTTGAGTCATTAATTTTCAGATAATGATTGTAGAAGGAAGATAAACCAAAATATGTGTGTAAAAATAAAATAAAAAAAAAATGTTACCTTGCTTTATAAAGTATCCTCCCGACAAGAATTTCAGTGCGGACCTGTATTTGATCGTGCGGTCTTGGAGCACCGGCATGCCTTCCCCTGTGAGGTCTTAAGTCACCTGATTCACGAGCCCTTTGTACTACATTAACAAAGGCACGAGGGGTTGGTTGCACTCGATTGGGAAACCGATCCGCATAAATCCGTGATGTCGCGTAAATAAGAATCATGTCCACAAGTTCAGCATTTTCGTAAACATGTGCCATTTTTTATTTCGTTTGAGCCACGCAACAGACACCACTATTCACTCACGCGTTATCGACTGACGCTGACTGTATACAACTGAATAAAATAATTGTAAAAACATCGTTCCAAATTCTTTCGCTTTTTTGTTTCCGATGCGATGAACCGATAAGGCGGATTAAATCCGTTGTTGCCAAACACGAGCACATAATATTATTATTGAGACAGGGCGGTACTCAAACTTCCAAAGGGCTATAACTTTGTTACTTTAATTTTACCAGAAAAATGGTAAAGGAAAAAACATTTCTTTTGATCAGATCTACTCACTGTTAAAATAAATGACTCAACTTCGAAGTCATTGTATATACAGGGTGACTTCGAAGTTGAGTCATTTATTTTAACAGTGTGTAGATCTGATCAAAAGAAATGTTTTTTTCCTTTACCATTTTTCTGGTAAAATTAAAGTAACAAAGTTATAGCCCTTTGGAAGTTTGAGTACCGCCCTGTCTCAATAATATCATGTGTTCGTGTTTGGCAACAACGGTTCATCGCATCGGAAACAAAAAAGCGAAAGAATTTGGAACGATGTTTTTACGATTACAATTCAGTTCAGTTATACATACAGTCAGTTTCAGTCGCGTGTGAATAGTGTCTGTTGCGTGGCTCAAACGAAATAAAAAATGGCACATGTTTATGCGGATCGGTTTCCCAATCGAGTGCAACCAACCCCTCGTGCCTTTGTTAATGTAGTACAACGGGCTCGTGAATCAGGTGACTTAAGACCTCACAGGGGACCTCACGATCAAATACAGGTCCGCACTGAAATACTTGTCGGGAGGATACTTTATAAAACAAGGTAAAATTTTTTTTTAATTTTTTTTTTATTTTTACACACATATTTTGGTTTATCTTCCTTCTACAATCATTATCTGAAAATTAATGACTCAACTTCAAAGTCACCCTGTATATATATATGTGTATTATAAAAAAGAATATAAAAATAATGGGTTATATCCGCAAAAAGAATGAAAGTGGATTCGAGCAGAAGATAGGATAGGTAACCCGAGCGATACGTATTTATGTTGGTTGGCTTCATCAGGCCCAAAATGAATGCGCATATGCAACTACAAAAGTAGATACACATGGCCATATATCCGAACCTGAGGAAACGAAGATACGAAAAAAATTACACACAAAGTCCACAACAAGAGCCAACCTGCACACTGTAGTATAAAATGGCTAGAAGACCTCGAATTTTCAAGGTGACATCTAACCACAACCACGCGGCCGGTTATAGCCACTTGCTGTGGTAGTTCAAACCCAAAGGATCGACAAAGATTACAGTATCATGCGGAGAAAGGTACCATACATGACAAAACATAGGAAAATAATAGGAAAAATCCACAAAAAGAAGGGGCCTGATGAAGCCGACCAGCAGAAATACGTATCGCTCGGGTTACCTATCCTGGGGTTTTTTCTCAATATATATCTTATATCTATACATTGAGACGTGGTTATTGTCCTCTAACAACCATTTAGAGAAAATAAAAAATTATATAAATGATTTTAAATAACTTACAATAGTATGTGAGATTGTTGCTAAATGTTATTAAAGGTTACGTTGAGGGAAACATTTTAACTAAACCTTTAACATTTAGCAACAATCTTACATACGTAAGTAATTTAAAATCATTTTGCAAAATAGTTTCATCTCAATGTTATTGCAGCTCCTGATGATGATGGCATAGTCCATTGAAAGCTAGAGACTAATAAAGTATAAAGAGTCCTCATTGCTTGAATTTTGTCGAAGTACCCAACAAAAGGCGGAAGCTTTATTTTTCACCTGGAAGACAATGACCACGTCTCAAGTTTATATATATATATATATATACATATATATATATATATATATATATATATATATATATATATATATATATCAGAAAAAGAGCTCGTACACGCCTAAATTCTTGGTCAATTCAGAATGCGTCCAGGGCTCGTATTTTTTGAATAAGTGATGCAAGTCGTATGCGCTAAGCATCACCCTTGTCATGAAGATACCGAAAACTTGCCATACTCCTAACAGACCAAGAGGTTGTGGCAATTTCGACCAAATTCGTACAAAATAAAGGGCTAATATAACTTAATGGCAAAAACGTGAACCTACTGCTACAAGGAGACTGTCTGAAAAAGCAAAAAGTCTAAAATTCACATATTATCAGGTTATAATGGGTGGTTCTCAACATATAATGATGCTTTGTAAAAATGTAACATCAAGAGCTACAGCCGAGTATATTAAGGCGCTTGTACAAGAGGCACGCGATTCTATCCGCATTTTCAAATCGCAAGTTTTGCCAAACTGTTTTCTGTTTTTCCTATTTCAGTTTTCATTTCTTTTACTCTGTCTCATTCCAATATTTTTTATTTGTAGGTGGCAGTACTTACTACCTGGATTTACAAGATTTTGTGTAAAGAAGGTGTTTCTGGAATTTGCAAACATCGTAGCTGAAAGTGCGGATACGGTTAATAGTGATAGGCCTGGGAGACACTGAATTATAGTCTAACGAGTATCTTCGGTTTTATGCATAATATTATTCAAAAAGGATCGACCATGAAAATTGCCTCAAAGTGTTTTCGAACAAAACACATTTTTTTTGTTGCTACGGACGAACAAAAAAAAGGTTTAGTAAACAATAACTTGAGAGAAAAGAAAAGTGGGCTCCGGCAGGAGTCGAATCCGAATCTGCTCCATCCGACCTAAAAAATTAGTCTACATACAGCACCGGCTGTCAAAATCGGCTCTCAGAGGTAAATTCAATCCTACCCACGCAACTGCCCGTTTGTTCTTTCAAACTGCTTAATACCCCATCTGGCGGCGTCCAAGTGAAACAAACCGGATTGGAAAGGTATCTCCAAGTGTCTTCTAGTAGCATCACACCGCCTCGTGGGCACTTACCACGGTACCACCTTATGAAATTTTGAATGACAAGAAAGAACATTTTAATGTTCTCAAGGTTCCAAAATATTCTTCAAACATTCATAAATAAAAACGTAAAGCATTTTTGGGGTATTGCTACTGTAAACTGTATGTTAAGCCGCGTTCTTGTGAATTAATGAGGGGTCAAGATTTCTAGCGAATATTGTAAAAAATCGTAGCGAAAATGTAGGAATTATAAAAGAAAAAGTAGATACCTACTTATATCCGTCAGCGTTCACAGCCGAGCAAATGCAATTCGCCAGTTCCCAGAGGACTTGGTCTTTGGTAGGTTTCTGTTGTAGACTCTGCGTCAGATCTTGGAGCATTTGACGTTTGTCGGCATGGACGCAGAATTTCCACCTGCAACAAAAAGAAACAATCAATCAAAAAGCAACAAATTTGATAATTTAGGTTTACTAGGATTTATCCATTTTTCCTACGAACGTTTTCTGGAAACCTCAAGGGTTTTTGTAACTGGACGATTTTTTTCGGAGGAAGAATATTTTTAGACATTTCCAAAAAATACGAGTATATGTACTGTATTGAACCGGCCCTTACAAAAAAAAACTCAATCTTCCAGCTACAAAAAACCGGCAAATATATTTCATTTTCTGCATTTTTTCGATGTCCATTTTGTTATCAAATCTCACGTATGATAGCTGGTACTATCAGCTTTCCAGGAAGTTATAGACCAAATATTTAATTGAGTCGATAGAACGGTCGATATAATTTAATGTTTAAAGATTATTTCATGTAAATGTTGGCCGCGGCTCCGCTTTAGATGACCCATGCGCAAAGTCCAATTTTGGCACACTCTCTCCAACATATCGGCCGGTATCTCACGAATAAATGCTTCCAGTGCGTCAATCGTTGCTGGTTTATCCCTGTAGACATTAGCCTTAACATGGCCCCACAAGAAATAGTCCAACGGCGTTAAATCACATGATCTAGGCGGCCAATTGACGGGACCCGAACGTGAGATAAACTGTTCACCGAACTCGCCTCTCAATAGGGCCATTGTTTCGTGTGCGGTGTGGCATGTGGCACCGTCTTGTTGAAACCACATGTCAGCCAAGTCCAGCTCTTCCATTTTGGGCAAAAAAAAAGTTTGTTATCATCGCACGGTAGCGCTCGTCATTCACAGTTACGTTCCGGCCATTGTAGTCTTTGAAGATGCCACCGGCCCATAATCCCACATCAAACAGTGATTTTTTCGGGATGCATTGGTAGCTCTTGCAATGCTTCTGGCTGGTCTTCACTCCAGATGCGCCAATTTTGCTTGTTAACGTACACATTCAACCAGAAATGAGCTTCGACGCAGAACACAATTTTTCGATAAAAATGTGGATCTTCCTCCAACTTTGCCAGCGCCCATTCACCAAATTGGAAACGTTGTGGGAGGTCGTGTGGCTTCAATTCTTGCACCAGCTGTATCTTATAAGGTTTTACACCCAAATCCTGTCGCAAAATTTTCCACGTAGTGGAGTAACAGAGGCCCAATTGCTGCGAACGGCGGCGAATCGACAATTCACGGTCATCACTAACACTGGCGGATACAGCCGCAATATTTATTATTATTATTATGATAATTGTGATGAGCAGAGTACACAGTACTATAAGCTCATGCAGTAAATATAGTGTACGGACACGTAACACAAATACATCAAATAGAAAAAAATAAAAAAAGACAGTTCATAGTTATAAAGTTTGTACACTCCTCCAGCTATCATACTGCACTTTGAAGCTATTAACTGAAGTAGCACCAACCACACTTTCAGGTAAACTATTCCAGGTGTTGAATATTGAATATTCAGTCCTCACTTTACGTCTGCGTGTTGGTGGTTTAATGTCCAATAATGTAAACTGGGTTCGAAATTTAGTCACAAGCTTCCGAATAACTCCCTCAGTAGGCCGACCAAATTGCCCATAAATTGGAAGCAGTGCTCGATGCACTCTCTAACGGAGCATGAATTTTGGTAGTAAAATTCAATAATTTGCAAGCGTTGCTCGTTCGTAAGTCGATTCATGGTTAAATTATAGACCAAACTGAACAAGTTTGACAATGACACAAGACACGATTCACGCGTCATCTGTCAAAAACAGTGTTGCCAAAAAGATACTAGCAAAAAAATCACCCATTATTTATCACTATTGAAATCCTTGATCTTTGACGTAAGACCGCACAGTAGAAAAAATATCAGTAAAAAACAGTACTGTTGATTTAAAAAAAATGAGACTACTGACCTTCAACATGCGCCACGTCGTCTGTGACGTTGCGGCTAGGGCACCGTGGCGCTGCTCAATTCGGATCGGACCCTCCGCAGGTAAAAGGTACTGCGTATTTCTGCGTAACTGGTGTGAGATACATTTAACATGCGGGTAGTACTACCAAGACCACAAATCGCTTAATAATGAAACTTCTTTTACTAATACTTAAGATTTACAACATTTACAACCCCTACTCCCTACAAGCCCCAAGCCTCCCAAGCCTAAGAACGAAGCATGAGTGATTTTTTATTTTTCCATTTTTTACTCGAAGCTCCGCGGCTAATGGACCAATTTTCAAAAATAGCAAAGCTTTTTAGTCCTTGACACAGCAGTCACACAGACTGACGGAAACAAGTGACATAGTTTTTCCTGATGCAGTTGTAAAAATGACGTCACAAAAACATATAATTTCATTTTCGAAATATTTCGCCATTACTTCTTTGCCAGTGGGTTGCGAAGTAAAAGCGCAACTTTTATAAAGACGATGTCTTGTCTTGTGGAGGATCGTCAGTACTATATTGGCTTCCAAAGAAGGAGAACAATCATATACGTATCCAGCATTGAAAATACTTTTGTTGAAGCATTTACCGATCTGTAAATAGAAAACAGACTGTGGTACGCAATTCTAGTGAACCTTCAACGGATCTAGACAGTTCGGCGCGATCTCGATTACAATATTTAGATAAACGGTGACCTAATTGATTGAAGAATAATAGAAATGAGCGATGGTCAATATTATGTATCTAGAGACAGTTTCACTCATGATTACGCGCAGTTACAACACATTGCAAAACAAGTTTATAGGAGGGCCACCTTCCGATATACAGGGTGTAAACGTTATGGTAGACATTATTGAAATGGTTAATAGGGGTGGCCAAAACAAGTCAAAAAGTTCATATGACCCATGGTCCAAAAGTCAATAGATTTTTAACTAAATGGCTTTATATTTTACACAATCACCACAATCTTACTAATTTTTATAATCTAATCTATAACGTTTTTAAATTGGGAATTAACAAATAAATGGCATTAGGTGTTCCTAAGTTAAGCCAAAATTTGTAGTCAGTAAGTAAGTTTTATTAAATTGAATATTTAAAACACACACGACAACAGCGCGTCCGTCATCCTTATCGAACCGGCAATCGATCGCAAACGGTAACAGTGGTTAGTATGTTGTTTTGTTTTTGTTCGCGTACGTCGTCGTGTTGATTTACAATGTTCTCGAGTCAAGAGTTCGCCGACATGTTGTTAGCTTACGGTGAAGCTCGTCAGATCGCGACAGATTTCGCCAACGGGTACACCCGAACAGAAGGACATTTGTGTAAGTGTACCAGAGACTTCGAGATACAGGAAGCCCACTAATATTCGCACTCGTGAAAGACAGGTTACTGTAGAGCAGGAGGAACAAATTTTAAATATCGTGGAAATAAATGCAGATATCAGCACTCGGGAATTAGGCCGCCGCGTAGGACTATCGCATACCATAGTCCATAGGATCTTACGGGAAGATTTGCTTTATCTCTACCATGTACAACGAGTGCCGGCTTTGTTCCCAGAAGACTATCCTCGCAGACTAACATTCTGTCAGTGGTTTTTGGACAGAAACATTGAAAATCCGGATTTTTTTAAAAACATTCTAGCGACAGAGGGATGTACTTTTACGCGAGACGGGATATTAAATTTCCATAATACTCACACGTGGGCCCAAGAAAATCCTCATACCATTCGTGAAGGTCATTTCCAACAATGTTTTAAAATAAATATTTGGGCGGGTATTCTTGACGATCAGGTAATTGGCCCTTTCGAGTTACCCCAAAGTTGTCAGGAGAAGGATACCTTAGCTTTCTAGCCAATAACCTACCAGAACTTCTGGAACAGACTTTAGACAACATGTCATTACAACGGAGACAGAACTTGTGGTTTCTTCATGACGGGGCACCACCACACATTTTTAGAGGCGTCATTCAGTATTTGAATGAACATTATCTAAATCGCTGGATCGGTCGAAATGCTCCTGATCCTCGAAAATGGCCAGAAAGATCTCCCGACCTCAATCCGATGGATTTCTGGTATTGGGGAGAACTTAAAGTGATGGTTTATGGGGCTGGTCCAATAACAACATTACCAAATAATGAAATAATACGTAAGAGCCAAAAATAACAAGCTCCATCTTTATTTACACTGCGTTCCGTCGTAATTTGTGTCTGGCATTGCGGTGTTGTCAGATTTTATTGTACTTTAAAGTCGCTTTTCTCTAAAACAATGCCGTTTTGACCCCCATGTTGTATAAAACTTCTTGCTTCTTTTAACACCCTCTATCACCCATTTAAATAATGACTATCATAACGTGTACACCCTGTACAATTAAGAGGAAAATACTTTTGATCATACGTAAATGAACAATTCAAGTTATTGGAAATACCAATAATAAATGCTCGTATATGCGGACTTCACCCGTGCATCTCACTTAATATAAACAAAGCATGGACCCAAATACAGTGATTTATTACTGTTAATATTTATTACATTATGAAAGACGGAGGTGTCGATAACAATCCCAACACCCCAAAAACGCCACTTCTATTAATTCATGATCGTGTAGTGTCACCGTGTGTGTACACCGTACAGGAATACGCCAACATACACCTGGTTATCCCAATTACCGAGTTTTTGTGAATGTGCACCGTTGACTCTCAAAGGGACGATTCTCAAATCAAGTACATGGTGAAGGACGATTACAAGCAGTCGAAGAAGACTCGAAGTACTTCAGAACGTCAAATTTATTGGAAGAAGTGCCACTAAGCATTTACAGCGTTTGAGGTTAAGTATGTATTTGCCAACCAGAACAGCAAGAAAATATGAAGGATTTAACGCAAAACATGTAATGCCTTACCACGTACTGCCCCAAATGCGCAGTAGGCATCTGCGCACTTTTAGCATGATATTATCTAGAACAAGTTCTAAAAAATTCAGCACTAAATTTGATCATACAAAATTATGTACTAAATGCTGTCTGGCACTATCGTTAATTTTGTTCAAAATTTAGCACAAAATTTCGTGACGTAACAGACAGCAAAAATTGAAATTTGCAGCAATGGCAACTAAAAGATCATCACAAGGTGTAGATTGTTCCGATTTTTTTCAAGCCCATAATATGAAAAGTACACGGCTTACATTTTTTAATATTTTTCCGATCGTAAAGGATGTCAAGAACCAAAATCCGCCAACGTTGATTCTTTACTGCGGCTGAAATATTCATTTTTAGAGCGTTAGTGAATTAAAAAAAGCAGTATAAAAACCGGAATGTCCAACTGATAAGGCTGAAAATTTATTCACTTGTTATCTACAGTAAGATAAATACATTCACCAACTTTTATTAAAATAAAACCATTTAAACTGGGTGTTCGGATTTACATGTCACTTAGTATATTATGACTTGGCCTATCCCCCATTTTCGGCTTGACGTCGTCTTCTGGGACACCCTGTGTATGATACTCTCAAAATCGCAAACAGAAAAATGTGCGAGTATTATGGATGCTAAGATTAAGAGAAAATGAGTACTGTTGATATTCCTGGCAAGCATGCATTCCTGGTAATACTACTGTCAAGTACTCTCATCCTGGCAAATGCCAGTAATTACTGGCAAAACGGCAACACTGAAATATAACACGTGAAACTTATCTTGCGGTCTTCCTGTTGAGAGGACTACATTGCCTGGTCTCTAAATCAAACTACAGATGTTTTAATTACTGTTTACTATACAGTACTGATTAAGAGTCCAGACGATAGAGCCCTATCGGTTGTTCTTATTTGATAAATTAATCTCTTGGTGTCACATTTCACCTATATTTGATGACAAAGTCATATTAGGGAACGATCTGTATTATTTCATCTAACGCATTGCTGCATGCTTTAAATTTTTCGTATACTGTCCCCTAGCCTATTCTAAAACATTCCAGATATGAATGAACTGACCTGGAAAGGCTCGTCTTTCTGCCGCTTTTCGTCTCCGGTTTCTTTTTCAGCCGTTGCGACTTCCGGATTATCCACCTTTCCAGTTGCTCCACTTCAACCTTCTCCATCACGAAATACTCCAGGAAATCTGGATGACTGACTAGATATTCAGAGACGGTCTCGGCTGGAACAAGAGAAACCCTATTTATTACGCTTCCTTCGAAGAACATGTCTTTAAAACGGAAGAACCGAATAGAGACGTACAAAAGTCCTCGAAATCTTAGCAGCATCTCGTATATTCAGTGTGATGAAATGTACTCGTAAAATAATGCTCAGTTTTTTTGGAAAAACGCTCAGATCCGTTGATTTTGTTTTCGAGGGGGACACAAGTTTGGCAAAACATCACGTTAGCACGTGCAGCCCCCTAAGCGGGGTTACCACCCCCAAAATCTTAAATGGAAAGGGGGTCGAGTGATACCTTATTTTAAAGGTCTTTCAATTCCCTTTATAATCATATAAAATTAATGTACTTCAGTTCAGCAGTTTTGAAGATTTATTGATTTAAAGCTTAAATAAAACAGGCAAGTAAATGTTGAAAACGGCCACCATCACTCTCCATGCAATAATAAAGATTTTGGTCAAAACGTTGCCGTACATTTTGCAGTATTTGAGGAGTAATTTGAAGGCACTCATTTATTATTCTTTGTCGCAGGTCTTCTAATGGTGTTGGCTGAGTAGCATATATTTTGCTTTTTAAATCACCCCACATAAAGAAATCCAAAGGTGATAAATCTGACGATCTTGGGGGCCATTCAATGGCACCTCTTCTACCAATCCATCGATCTGGAAACGTCTGATCCAAATATTGTCGAACACGTAATGCGTAATGTGGTGGGGCACCATCCTGTTGGAACATCAACCTAAAGTCTACTTTAAGCTTTAAATCAATAAATCTTCAAAACTACTGAACTGAAGCTCATGTATTTTACATCATTATAAAGCGAATTGAAAGACCTTTAAAATGAGGTATCACTCGACCCCCTTTCCATTTAAGATTTTAGGGTTGGTGTCACGCCCGCCCAGGGGGCAGCACGTGTTAACGTGATTTTTTGCCAAACTTGTGTCCCCCTCGAAAACAGAATCGACGGGTCAAAAAAAAACTGAGCTGCCAGTAAATGCGTCTGTTTCGTTTTCGATGCGCCACCCTGTATAAGAGAAATTACTCGTAGTCCAATCATATTAACAAATTTCCCGGCAATAATTGTAAAGTCTGGTTTTATCGGTGCAAATTGTTCAAGGGGGTATTTAAAACATGGACGCCTAAAATGGGTACACCAATTCTTGTGGGAAAACTTTTTATGAGACAACAAAGAATGAGAAAACGTGTTGTTTAGGGGATTCAATCGAAAGTTTTGACAGAAACGTAAAAACTTTTCATATAAGATTTTTAGGTATTTATGAGACAAAGTGAGACAACACGAAAATAAGATCCGACTAACAGCAAAAATGTTATGGCCGAAAAACGAGGCAAAATGCAGGTTTTGGCACTTGTTTGTAATGCGACGATAATTTCACGCAATTCCTTGAAATTCTTCAAATCCGTAGGAATCATACTTCTAAATAACAACAATAAAATTGGATTATATTGGTCAAGTGGTTTTTTAAGAATTTCTAATTGTTTATCCCAAAACACCTGCTTTCCGGCCATCGCTACTAGTTTATTTAGCAATATAAGGGGTCTGTTCAAAAAGCATTTAATAGCAAAATACCATTGAGATATCGAAAACTCTAAGAGATACGAATTTAAGCAAGACGGAAAAAAACAATTTTTCCAAAATAGCTATAATTTTTTCTTGACTCTATTTGTGGGGGGATTTAAAAATAAATTGCACATTAACATTGACACTCTTCCCCTTTTCCAAGACGGCGTAATTAAAATTTCAATATGGCGTTTCCTCTCTTGCCCATCACGATCAGCTTTATTTTTTCTAATGAACGCCATATTGGATTTTTCAGAGATTCATAGAATTTTTAAATCTGATTCAAAAAATGTATAATAAATACATTTACATTGCCAAACCTTAGTTATTTAAAAAAAACATAATATCCTACGTAGGCCTTGAAAGTACCAGACAGTTATTTTTACCTGACTTTACTTGAGATGGCATTTTAAAATAAACTTCAAAATGTTGGTATTGTTACTTCTTCTCTTCTGCAAGATGACGTGGTCAAATCTTCAATTCGATATTTCTTCTTTCGGATTCTACAGGGTGTCCCAGAAGTCGACGTCAAGCCGAAACCGGGTGATAGGCAAAGTCGTAACAGCTATCAGAAAAATATTTAAAAAAATTTTATGTATGTGTTTTGAAAATTATAGGCCTTTGAAAAAAATATAGAAATTTCACACCCTACTGCAGTCTGTCAACTCCTGTTACTACAAATATTAACTTTTTTTGGATTTTATTTTTACAATGTAATGACGAATAATGCATCTTCAAACTGGTGTCTCAACCTTATTGCCAACTTTTCTCGTTCAGGAAAAATTGCCACTTATTTCCCAACCAAGTATTCCAAAGTAAAACTTTGCTCAACTTTAACTGGCTGTACTGGAAAAAAATGTACTACGAGAGTTTGGCAAGTAACCCTTAAAAGTTGGCGCATTTAATAACGATTCCAAAATGGTACACTTAGAAAATTGCTGGTTAACTTATGCACAATTTTTATTTGAAGAAAAACTGAAGAAAATTTTTCAAAATTTCCTAATTAAACAGCGATTATGAAAACGCACAAGGACCCTTAAGGATAACTGTTTGCACAACAGAGGGCGTCAAAATGCTGCTGATGATGATTTACCTTTACAGTAAATGCTCAAGCTGTTTTCCTTCAGCCGTAATACACGCTCGACATTTTCTTAAAAAAGATCGGGTTATTAAACGAGCGAATCCACGGTTATTAACAAACTCAGCTGCTTCCAATAGTCTTTTCCGTAGCTCAGCTACATTTTGAATCGGCTTGAAATACACCTTTTCTTTTACAGTTCCCCAGTAAAAAAATCTAAAGGATTCAAATCAGGTGATCGGGCTGGCCACGGTATTGTACCAGACCGCCGTATCCATCTGCCTGGGAAGTTTTGATCGAGATACTCTCTCACTGAGAGTGTATAGTGCGCTGGGCAGCCATCATGCTGAAACCACATGTCCCTGTAAATACTCAGTGGCACGTCCTCCAATAAATTTTCTAAATGATTTTAACAAAAAATCTAAATAAACCTCAGCAGTCAAAGTCTCTGGGAACTCAAACGGACCGATTATTTTACCATTTAAAATTCCTGTCCAATGGTTTATCTTGAAGCGATATTGAGATTTATCTTCTCTCATCAAATGTGGGTTTGCTACGTGCCACTCGTGTAAGTTAAGCAGGTTCATGTACCCATCTTTCTTCAATGTGGTCTCATCTGACCGTAAAATTTTTTCAAAGAACCGTGGATCTTCCCTGTGTCTTTCTAACATTGTGCGACAAAAAGCAACTCGGGGATCATAATCCCGGGGCAGAAGAGCTTGAACACGCTGTACGTGGTATGGATGGAGCACGTTTTTTTGCAAGTTTCTATGGGCTGTACTTTTGGGCACACCTGTTTTTAGTTCTATTGCACGCACTAAAGGACTCGGGTCTTCTTCGACAGCTCCTAGCACCACTTCGTAAGGAAGGAAAGATCTTCCCTCACCGTGTGATTGGTTTGGTAGTTGGCCCTCTGAGAACAGTGAGCGGTGCAAATTTGTGACATAGCGGTACTGCACAATCACACTATCAAAGATAGTCTAAGGAAAGCAAATGTTGTTTTGAAGAGCAATTAAACAGTCCAAATCCAAATCACAAGCGATCAACAGTCCAGTTCACGAATCCAAAATTAGTAACAGTACGAAATCAAGCACGAACATGTAAAGATGTGCAGTAAATGAAGGAGTTCTGATCGGTATCAAAGTGTGCAATAGCAAGTAAGTGATGTGCTTCATCCATCCCACATACAGCGTGTTCAACCTCTCCTGCCCCGGGATTATGAGCCCCGAGTTGCTTTTTGTCGCACAATGTTAGAAAGACACAGGAAAGATCCACAGTTCTTTGAAAAATTTTATGGTCGGATGAGACCACATTTAAGAAAGATGGGTACATGAACCTGCATAACTTACACGAGTGGCACGTAGCAAAACCCACATTTGATGAGAGAAGATAAATCTCAATATCGCTTCAAGATAAACCATTGGACAGGAATTTTGAATGGTAAAATAATCGGTCCGTTTGAGTTCCCAGAGACTTTGACTGCTGAAGTTTATTTGGATTTTTTGAAAAATCATGTACAAAATTTATTGGTGGACGTGCCACTGAGTATTTACAGGGACATATGGTTTCAGCATGATGGCTGCCCAGCGCACTATGCACTCTCAGTGAGAGAGTATCTCGATCAAAACTTTCCAGGCAGATGGATAAGGCGGTCTGGTACAATACCGTGGCCAGCCCGATCACCTGATTTGAATCCTTTAGATTTTTTTTACTGGGGAACTGTAAAAGAAAAAGTGTATTTCAAGCCGATTCAAAATGTAGCTGAGCTACGGCAAATACTATTGGAAGCAGCTGAGTTTGTTAATAACCGTGGATTCGCTCGTTTAATAACCCGATCTTTTTTAAGAAGATGGCGAGCGTGAATTGCGGCTGAAGGAAAACAGTTTGAGCATTTGCTGTAAAGGTAAATCATCATCAGCAGCATTTTGACGCCCACTGTTGTGCGTTTTCATAATCGCTGTTTAATTAGGAAATTTTGAAAAATTTTCATCAGTTTTTCTTCAAGTAAAAATTGTGCATAAGTTAACGAGTAATCTTCTAAGTGTTATACCATTTTGGAATCCTTATTAAATGCGCAAACTTTTAAGGTTACTTGCCAAACTCTCGTAGTACATTTTTTTCCAGTACAGCCAGTTAAAGTTGAGCAAAGTTTTACTTTGGAATACTTGCTTGGGAAATAAGTGTCAATTTTTCCTGAACGAGAAAAGTTGGCAGTAAGGTTGAGACACCAGTTTGAAGATGCATTATTCATCATTACATTGTAAAAATGAAATCCAAAAAAAGGTAATATTTGTAGTAACAGGAGTTGACAGACTGCCGTAGGGTGTGAAATTTCTATATCTTTTTCAAAGACCTATAATTTTCAATACACATACATAAAAAAATTTTCAATATTTTTCTGATAGCTGTTATGACTTTGCCTATCACCCGGTTTCGGCTTGACGTCGACTTCTGGGACACCCTGTATAACCAACTTTGGTTTTTCATATGGACGCTATATTGGAAGGCAATTTAAATGGACTTGTGATTTCGAAATTCAGCGTGGTATTCCCTTAGTTGGCCATGCATTTGTTGTTAGATAATTATAATAATAATAATAATGTAAATTTCATTAATGGTAAATAAAAATAATAATTATAAATAAGCAGAGATAAATCATAGCAGATATTGTCTGTTATTTTGTAGGCCTGATTCTTCTCTGTGCATTGTTCACTGCTCGATTTATTTCTCTGTTTGTTCTTTTGGGAGTAAATTTAGGATTAAGTAGGGCAGGCTGTTTGAAACACGGAAACTACAAGTAGCAGTTTTTTTCAAAAAAAGATGCTATAAGAATCGTTCTGCTTTAGCACATTAGACCGTGTAAAATATCTGAAAGCGCGACATCTGAAATTCCGATTTTTCTATTTAACGCTGCGAATATGTTCCCGTTGATCAGCTCTAGGCAAAAAGTCAAACGAGAGAACTGGCGAAGCTCCATGCATTCCATCCCGCTCATTCAGATTGATTCGGGAGTTATTCGAATATTCGATTCCTTTGCAGTCGCTTGTGACCCTTTTATTGCAGTTTCTGCACTCGTTCGCCGTGAATTCCGCGCGTTTCAACCTCCCAGGTCGGGATTTAAATTAAATTTTTTCACGTCCCAGTTGAAAGGCGAAAATACGGAGACGGCCAATAAAAGTCGCTACTAAAAAGACTTTTCGCGCTCAATAGGAGCTCTGTTCATATCAAAAAATGCGTCGCAGCGTGGAAAGCTCATAATATTAACGGAGGAATGTAGGTGTTTCAATTTCGACTCTCACCGTTGAGATGTCGGAAACGGTAATAGATACGAATTCGGTTAAGTTCAGTTGCACATTTACGTAATTAAGAAAATATCACTTTGAAAGTTTAGCAACTCCGAGTATTTCCGTAGATAGATTAGAAAAGCTGAACTTATTATTTGAGATGAAGAGTACCTTAACATTGCCACTTTTTCTCTTCTATACTAAGTGACATATAAATACGAACACCCAATTTAAATGGTTTTATTTTAATAAAAGTTGGTGAATGTATTTATCTTACTGTAAATAACAAGTGAAAAAAATTTCAGCCTCATCAGTTGGACATTCCGGTTTTTATACTGCTTTTTTTTAATTCACTAACGCTCTAAAAATGAATATTTCAGCCGCAATAAAGAATCATCGTTGGCGGATTTTGGTTCTTGACATCCTTTACGATCGGTTACGATGCCTAGAGTACGGAGACCTGTACGATTTCGTCAACTTAGTGAGTTTGATAGGGGCCATATAGTGGGACTTCGGGAAGCTGGACTTTCTTTTCGGGCAGTTGCAGCTGGAGTGCAAAGAAGTGTAGACACTGTGGTTAGGTGTTGTCAGGCATGGCTTCGAGAAGGCCGTACGCAAAGAGCAAGGGGCACTGGACGCCGCCGTAGAACAACAGACCGTGAAGATCGCCGCCTAAGATTATTGGCCTTAAGGGACCGTTTCTCCACTACCAGGTCCATTGCAAATGAATGGTTTGCAGAACACGGAAGACCTATTGGCATGCGAAGTGTTTACCGACGAATGAGAAGTTCTGACTTGTTTTCATACCGGCCACACTGGGTCCTCCCTTTAACTCGAGAACACCGGCGTAATCGCCTTGAGTGGTGCAAACAACGGTCACTCTGGGATCAGGAATGGAACAGTATTGTCTTTAGTGACGAGTCTCGATTTTGTTTAGGCATGCACGATGGTCGTGCCAGGGTTAGAAGGCGACGTGGTGAAAGGAGGAATCCACAGTTTTTTGTTGAAAGACATGTTCATCACACGGATGGAGTTATGGTTTGGGGTGCTATAGTTTATGGTTCCAGGTCACCTTTGATCTTCATCAGAGGTAACATGAACGCGCAGCGTTATATCCACGAAGTTCTAGAACCCCATCTTTTACCCTATCTTGACACCCTGGCAGATGCAACTTTCCAACAAGATAATGCCCGACCACATGTTGCAAGAGTCACAATAGACTTCTTTCAACATAATGATGTCACATTGTTACCATGGCCACCAAGATCTACCGACTTATCCCCAATTGAGCACGTGTGGGATATGATGGGTAGGAGATTGCTCAATTTGCAACGTCCTCCTCAGACTCTAGAAGCACTTCGAGAGGAGTTGGTGGTTGCCTGGAATGAGATACCACTTGAGGACATTGACCACCTGATCAGAAGCATGCCTAGGCGCGTTGGAGAATGCGTAGCACATCAGGGTGCACCCACACATTATTAAAGGTCAAAGGGCTTTAAAGCAGTGCAATCATTTTGAAATTTTTATCATTTACTTATTATGCCTCATTAAGTACTTATACAAAATTTCATTAAAATAAAACCATTTAAACTGGGTGTTCGGATTTATATGTCACTTAGTATATATTGGATATTTTACACAGGTGAATAATGTTTCGCAATAGTCAATTCTAGCGATAGATGAATCTTCGCACTGCGTTATTTCGATGGATCGTTGCCCGAGAGACCCAAGGCTAGACCAAATCAGCCATGAGAATATAAGGTATTCTTATTTTTACTTACATACTCGTTTTCACGTGGTACCAGTGAATCGGTCCTCTACCAAACTTAGCAGATACGCACGCGTTCAAAGTATATACGAGGGATGTCTTTTATGTTTTGCATATAGAAACATGGTAGGCCGCACGGATCGAACGTCAGTACTGAGTCTTAACCTCACTCTTTAGTAAGCTTAAATGCAAAGTTTCACAGCAATACGTGGATATGAGGATATACATGTGACCTCAATTCAAAAAATTTTACTTGAAGAATTAGGAGTAAGAAAATCAGTTTCTCGTTGGATACCCCACCTGTTGACTGAAGAGCAGAAAGCAGCCAGGGTTAATTGGTGTCAAAAAACGCTTGACCATTTCAATTCCGGAAACTCAAAAAATGTGTCCAGCATTGTTAGTGGTGATGAATCGTGGATTTACTGTTATGAACCAGAAAATAAACGACAGTCGGCTGTTTGGGTGTTCCAAGGTGAAGAAAAGCCAACAAAAGTCATCCGTTCTCGAAGTGTTTCGAAAAAGATGGTCGCGACATTTGTGTCAAAAGCGGGTCTTATTGCAACAATTCCTCTTTATGAACAAAGAACTGTTACTTTGGATTAGAATACCACCATTTGTTTGCCAAAAGTTATCATCGAGCTTCGAAAAATAAACCCCGAAAGAAGAATCATCCTCCACCAAGACAATGCAAGCTCGCACACAGCCCAAAAAACAAGGCAGTATTTAAGGGAAGAAAACGTGGAATTATTGGACCATCCTCCATATAGTCTCGATCTAAGTCCTAACGATTTCTTTACTTCCTCGAGAATTAAAAACAGACTGCGTGGTCAAAGGTTCCAGTCACCAGAAGAAGCAGTTGACGCATTCAAAAATGCCGTTTTGGATCTGCCAGGAAACTAGTGGAATAAGTGCTTCGAAAATTGGTTCAAGCGCATGCAGATGTGTATCAATCTTCGTGGAGAATACTTCGAAAAACAATAAGGGCATTTAAAACTACCTACCGTGTTGTTTTCTTTCCATATGCAAAACTTAAAAGACATCCCTCGTATAAACGATATTCAATTCCCCATGTTCCGTTTTCCCGAAAATAAGTAATGTCTGGCAGCTCTGGGATCTTGAACGACTATCAGTAAACAAAAAATTCTTCGGATTTAAGTCCCAGTTTTTCTTTTATTGTAACCTCAAGCTTAGCTGTACTCTGAGGAAAGGAAAACGAAAGTGGGGGAACTGAAATCTCCTTTAATAAAAAGCTCCTTATGGATTATTCATTTGAATTGATAACACGACAGAAAATGTGTATAAAAGCTGTATAGAAAGTATATTTCTTTACCTGTGATCATCGCTGAAGGTAGGGGATGGTCTTTCTTTGATAAAGGACCCTGACTGTGCGTTGGAGATCCTGGAAAGAAAATTAACTTCATTAGTTCTTTCAAAGGCATAGGAATCTATTCTGAATACTAAAAGACATAATTACAACACAACATATTCTCAGATATACAGGGTGACTTCGAAGTTGAGTCATTTATTTTAACAGTGAGTAGATCTGATCAAAAGAAATGTTTTTTTCCTTTACCATTTTTCTGGTAAAATTAAAGTAACAAAGTTATAGCCCTTTGGAAGTTTGAGTAGCGCCCTGTCTCAATAATAATATTATGTGCTCGTGTTTGGCGACAACGGATATAATTCGCCTTATCGGATCATTGCATCGGAAACAAAAAAGCGAAAGAATTTGGAACGATGTTTTTACAATTATTTTATTCAGTTCAGTTATACATACAGTCAGTGTCAGTCGAAGGGTTCATCTCTGGTCAGTCGGTAACGCGTTTGAATAGTGTTTGTTAATGTAGTACAACGGGCTCTTGAATCAGGTGACTTAACACCTCACAGGGGACCTCACGATCAAATACAGGTCCGCACTGAAATACTTGTCGGGAGGATACTTTATAAAACAAGGTAAAATTTTTTTTTTATTTTTTTTTATTTTTACACACATATTTTGGTTTATCTTCCTTCTACAATCATTATCTGAAAATTAATGACTCAACTTCAAAGTCACCCTGTATAAAATTCATTAGACATTTTTCTGAAATCCAACCATTACGGGATTATAATAATACATCAAATATTCATCAGATATAGTTAAACTAAACTGCTGGTCAGCTGTAGCTTTTGCCGTTCCAACCCTTCAAATTACGCCACCAAACTTTAACCCTTCGTGATTTTACTAACCCTAAAACTTTACGCTGAACGGGCACTATCCCTCCAATTAGCTCTAATTTCTCTATAGCCTCTGTGCAGCAACTTGAGAGTTTCTGGCCATAATTGCCTCTTCATATGACTCGTCAATTCTGCGACGGGCACTGAGGGTTCTTTGTGGTAATGGTTCCTGTGAGGGCGCTATCAGCTATTATGCAGTCTATTAGGGGAACATTCTTGTATCAAAAGCGACTCGATTGAGGAAAGGGGCCGCAGATACTAAACACGTACGTACGTCAAACATCCCTAATGATTAGAACTATACCGTACTGATGATTAATAAAAAGCAAGAAGCAATGTTGTACATGGTTGGCTTTGGACACAGAGTAGAGGCGGAAAGATAACAGATACTATTATACACAATTTTACAGACGAGAGAATCGTTGAATTTTCATTTATTTTTCATTGAATATTTCACATTAAAGTTGAACGACCATTATCATCCCTACTTCTTAGCATTTCGACTAAGATGGCACATGCTCATTACGTGGAATGCTTTCATTACGCTCAAAGGAACGTACGTTTTTTTTATGAAGGCATCTATATTTTGTGACAATTATATGGTATAGTTGAAGTCACCGTTCTTGGCAGGTCAAAGTAAGGCTACCAGTATCTCTTTATATATCTCCATGTCCTTCATACATACACATGCAACCTACCCCTGTGTGTGATCGGTAAGCTCAAAGACATATGTTTTTTAGTTGTGTGTCTCCGACTCGAAAAGTTTGTCGTTACCTATAAGTGTCCTTCAATGACAAGTTACTTGACATTGGCGTGCAATTTTGGTTGTCATGTTATCAATCTTCAATATAAAATTGTACAATGCCCGGAAATACGATCATTGAAGAAGGCCGACAGCTCGTGCTAAATTTATTTCCAGGAAGAGAATGAAACAGCGGTCCTCTGTTACCCACTTTTATGGTACGGAGACTCGAACTATTTACTAATTTCATAAGGCGTTGTAATCTGTAATTAAAGTTGTTAAAAAAACTATTCACCACGAGTTCCTATTCTGAAAATACGGCGTAAATCCTAGATTCCGCCATTTTATCGCTGTTCTCTTTCACATCTCTCCGGCGGTCGCTCTATCCTTGGGATCTTGAAATAAATGAGGCCTTTATCTCCATAACCCGATTCAGCAATCGAAATTCGCATCACTCCCCGCCGCAGCGACCACAGAGGAAAAAAATTACATCCGGCTAGCAGCTGCTCAGGATTTATGGTGTCCAGGGTACGAACATGCCTTATTAATTGCCGCGCTGGGGTCGAGTTATATTGCAGGATCGCTTCTAATGCAACAGGAAATTAATTAGGCTCTGCTGCTGTATCGAAAAGTTTTGCTATATACTTAAATAGTGGAATTATATCGATTTTCAATGGCATTATAAATGTTTTTCCGAAAATTGGAAGCGTTATGCTGAATAGTATAGCCGTGGAATAGCTTTGGCAGTTCGCAGAATTAATCAATACGCGACCCCAAAACTTGACAACTCTGGGCAGAGTACGAGAGCTTGAATTTGCAGGTATCTTTTTTTTATAAAACTTAATTTTTATGAATGATAAATAATAATGGGTGATTTTTTGCTAGTATCTTTTTGGCAACACTGTTTTTGACAGATGACGCGTGAATCGTGTCTTGTGTCATTGTCAAACTTGTTCAGTTTGGTCTATAATTTAACCATGAATCGACTTACGAACGAACAACGCTTGCAAATTATTGAATTTTACTATCAAAATTCATGCTCGGTTAAGAGAGTGCATCGAGCACTGCTTCCAATTTATGGGCAATTTGGTCGGCCTACTGAGGGAACTATTCGAAAGCTTGTGGCTAAATTTCGAACCCAGTTTACATTGTTGGACATTAAACCACCAATACACAGACGTAGAGTGAGGACTGAAGAAAATATTGCGGCTGTATCCGGCAGTGTTAGTGATGACCGTGAAATGTCGATTCGCCGCCGTTCGCAGCAATTGGGCCTTTGTTACTCCACTACGTGAAAAATTTTGCGACAGGATTTGGGTGTAAAACCTTATAAGATACAGCTGGTGCAAGAATTGAAGCCAAACGACCTCCCACAACGTTTCCAATTTGGTGAATGGGCGCTGGCAAAGTTGGAGGAAGATCCACATTTTTATCGAAAAATTGTGTTCAGCGACGAAGCTCATTTCTGGTTGAATGGGTACCTTAACACGCAAAATTGCCGCAACTGGAGTGAAGACCAGCCAGAAGCATTGCAAGAGCTACCAATGCATCCCGGAAAAATCACTGTTTGGTGTGGATTATGGGCCGGCGGCCCGTCAATTGGCCGCCTAGATCGTGTGATTTAACGCCGTTGGACTATTTCTTGTGGGGCCATGTTAAGGCTAATGTCTACAGGGATAAGCCAGCAACGATTGACGCACTGGAAGCCAATATTGAAGCATTTATTCGTGAGATACCGGCCGATATGTTGGAGAGAGTGTGCCAAAATTGGACCTTGCGCATGGGCCATCTAAAGCGGAGTCGCGGCCACCATTTACATGAAATAATCTTCAAACATTAAATTATATCGACCGTTCTATCGACTCAAATAAATATTTAAACGTTTTTTCAAATTTTTTGTGTTTTTTTTGAAAATCAAATCACCTGTTAGTATAGCAGATTGTATCAGAAATGCCTGGAAAAGACAAGGCTGCTGCAACCTACTGTTCTATTATTTATCATTCATAAAAATGATGTTTTATAGAAAAAACAAATACTCTCAGATTCAACCGGCCAGATCTTCAACTAAGAATAGTGTTCATATGGCGGATATGTCAAAGCACCACGTTGCCGGATGGGTAGACAGAATTTCCGCAGAACAAGCGCAAAATTATCCCAGAATTCCTATTAAAAAAATCCTCCAAATAACAAATGATGAAACGGGTAAGTTTGGTTGATAGAGCGAGAGGATGCTTTTTGGGGAAAATCTGCCAACATGAACACCCTGTCAAAGCACCACCACGTCAAGTTGGGGGGGGGGGTCATTTTTACAGCACGAACAGCATTGGCGTAGTTTTTTTCCGGTATAAAGGCCATACAACATACTTTCATAACTGACGGCCAAGTGAAAACTGCCGTCAAACTGACAAAGTAATTCTATGGCTACTGCTATTCAGCATAAAAGCGCGGAGGCGCTCTCCGTCCACTTGTAATAGATGTGCGTGTTGCCTTAACGTTATGGCACTTGCGCTATATGGTTTGGGTCTGATGTGATGTAACATCTTCAGGATGGGACTATCGGGAGCCATCCATAGCTTCTGTAATGTATGGGGCCATCCTATTTGTATTCTGATCTACCTGTATATATACTAAGTGACATATAAATCCGAACACCCAGTTTAAATGGTTTTATTTTAATAAAATTTTGTATAAGTATTTAATGAAGCATAATAAGTAAATGATAAAAATTTGAAAATGATTGCACTGCTTTAAAGCTTTAATAATGTGTGGATGCACCCTGATGTGCTACGCATTCTCCAAAGCGCCTAGGCATGCTTCTGATCAGGTGGTCAATGTCCTCCTGTGGTATCTCATTCCAGGCAACCACCAACACCTCTCGAAGTGCTTCTAGAGTCTGAGGAGGACGTTGCAAATTGAGCAGTCTCCTACCCATCATATCCCACACGTGCTCAATTGGGGATAAGTCGGGAGATCTTGGTGGCCATGGTAACAATGTGACATAATTATGTTGAAAGAAGTCTATTGTGACTCTTGCAACATGTGGTCGGGCATTATCTTGTTGGAAAGTTGGATCTGCCAGGGTGTCAAGATAGGGTAAAAGATGGGGTTCTAGAACTTCGTGGATATAACGCTGCGCGTTCATGTTACCTCTGATGAGGATTAAAGGTGACCTGGAACCATAAGCTATAGCACCCCAAAGCATAACTCCAACAGTGTGATGAACATGTCTTTCAACAAAAAACTGTGGATTCCTCCTTTCACCACGTCGCCTTCTAACCCTGGCACGACCATCATGCATGCCTAACCAAAATCGAGACTCTTCACTAAAGACAATACTGTTCCATTCCTGATCCCAGAGTGACCGTTGTCTGCACCACTCAAGGCGATTACGTCGGTGTTCTCGAGTTAAAGGGAGGACCCAGAGTGGCCGGTATGAAAACAA